GGGTGGAAGGGGTGGGGTGGTGGTGTGTGTGTGGGGGGGTGTGGTGAGATCATGCAGACAGAGGGCTGCATTGCATCCAGCACAAGGGGCCTCGCTGCTGCCCTGAGTACACTGATAGGACAGGGATGGCTGCTCCCCGCTAGGGGGCTGGCCAGCAATTCTGGAGTGTGATGGTTAACTTTATGTTCCCACTGCACTGGGCTAAGAGATGCCCACATAGGTGGCAAAGCATTATTTCTGGGTGTGTCTGTGAGGCTGTCTCGGAAAGATAGTAGCATTTGAAGTAGGAGGCTGAGTAGAAGGCGGCCCTCACCAGGGTGGGTGGGCATCATTCAATCTGTTGAGGGTGTGAATAGAACTGAAAAGGTGGAGGAAGGGCAAAGCTGCTCTCTCTGTGCGAGCTGGACATCCACCTTCTCCTTCCCTCAGACATCAATGCGCTTGGTTCTCAGGCCTGGGGACTCAGACCGGGACTACATGGGCTTTCCTGGGCCTCCAGCTTACAGACAGCAGACCGCAGGACTCAGCCTCCATAACCGTATGAGCCAGCCCCTCATAATAAGATCTCTTTCTGTAGATCTGTATTTCTACCCTATCGTTTGTTTTGTGGGAGAACTCAAATAAATGGAGCTTCGAAGAGAAGCTTATGATGAAAGATTAAGGCTCTTCCAGGCTCAGTGCTGACCTTCCGTGTGACTCTGGGTCGGTCATTCAACCCCTTTGCACCCAGGCTTAGCAGGGAAGGTCCATGTTGAGATGCGATGTGAACCATGATTATGAAAGTTACTGGCTTCTACTTCTGGAGCACTGAGTACAGCAGCTGACACACAGTGAGTATTTCATATGCATTGCCCTGTTTAGTTCTCACAATGGCCATGGGATCAGTACCATTATTATCCCCATTTTACAGATGAAGAAATGAAGGCTTGGACAGATCGGGTAGCTTGCCCAGGGTTAAACCAGGTCTGTCTCATTTCAGTCTGGACTGTCTCCCAAATGTGCAAAATGGCCAACGTCACTATTCCCAAGTGGACTAGGGACTGTTTCCAAACCACCCCAAATGGATTTGGTACATGAAACAAAAGAAACACCACATCCAGGACTTTTTCCTACAGGAAAAGTCATTACTTCTAGATAGAAGCTTCTCGTGGAAAGCTGCCAAAGATCTTGAGGACTGGGCGGGCAATAAGAGAGGTGACCCACCCCAGAAGGATCCCGTATAAAAGCTGCTCTGGCCAATGCAGACAGTGGACTGGTGTGGAGATAAACCCCACTCCCAGCCTTCCCCAACTCCACCCTGCTCCAGGCCATCTGAGAAACCCAGAGTTAGAGGGGACCCTGGAAAGCTGGTTCCCTTTCGGTACTTTCCACTCCCAATTCCCTCCCTTGCTGATGAAACTGGAGATGCCAGGGGTGGGTGTGAAATGCCAGCTTCTGGGTCAGAGGCTAACCTGAAAAGCACACCCCGGAAACCTGGGTGGTGGTTTGGACCGCTGTGGGGATTAAAATGTGGCTCTTAATGCCATTTGCGGCATGGATGGACCTACAGATTGTCAGACTGAGTGAAGTAAGTCAGAGAAAGAGAAATAATGCTTGTATGAGGAATCTAAAAAAAAAAAATGCTGTAAGTAAACTTATTTACAAAACAGAAACAGACTCACAGACTTAGAGAAGGAACTTACGGTAACCAGGGGGTAAGATTTGGGGGGAGGGATAGTTAGGGAGCTTGGGATTGACATGTACACACTGCTATATTTAAAATAACTAACAAGGAAAAAAATAAAATAAAATAAAATAATAAAAAAATAGTAAAAATGAGGCTCTTACATTCAGCTCCGAATCGATTCTCTAACTGGGCAGTCAGCCTCCTACTCCACCCTCAGCCCCAATCCCCAGGCCTTCACCCCACTGCCACCCAGACTCTCCCCTCCCCTCGCCCTCAGGGTAGAGCAATAAAATCTTTCATGCTGCAGCTAGAGGCTATAAAAGCTGAGCTCTACCCCTTGACTCTTTCACCGGTGTCCTAGCCACAGCCTTGGCTGCCAGAGAGGTGCCAGGGTCGGGGAAGTCTCTAGGGTTTCAGCACAGCCACAGAACAATGCGCAGTGGGCAGGAAGGTGGGAGACTCATAGGCTGGCCTGAGGCTCACTCACAAGGACAAAGGGCTTCAGTGGAAGGTCAGAGGGGAAGATTAGATCCCCGTCTCCTGGGGAGGGTCCAGCCACTATTTGGGTTTTCTAGGAAAAGAAGAGACTTGACAAAATTCCCCTGGAGTTTAAGTGGGGACTCTGGGGGTGTTCTGGCCCTGCCAGCTTCCCTCTCTTCACACACAAACTCACCTGCCCCTACCTGAATTGAGAACCTAGCTTGGGCCTGCTGAGTGAGGAAGGGTCGCAAAGTCCTCCCCATTGCGACACTCAACTGCCCCTCCCCCCGCAACCTGCCACCCACCACTGGTCTCCCTACATCCCTTGTCAGTGAAAACTCAGTAGTCCAGGGACAGATCGGCTGTCAAGCCCCACCTCCACCGTCCACAGAATCACCACCCACACACCTGGTACTATCTTCAGCAATTCTGCTGGGTCCCTAGCTGACACTCCAAACCCTACCCCCTCCCCCCCACCCCAGCTCCCAGTCTCTAAGAGGAAGGAGAGAGAGAGATGGCTCAGGCAACAGTCCCACCTCCCTGGGCTTCCCCAGCTGCTGCCTATGTCATAGGCCTCACCTCTCCACTCCCCCAGAGACAGAGCCTCACAGGGCCTCTTTATCAGGAGAGGGACTTGGGGAGGGGGACTTTAGGTGATCAGGAGACTCCCTTTGTGTACCTACACCTCACCCCTTCCTCCC